ATCTCGGTTCGGATCTTGCCCAGGCCAATCAAGCCTTCAGTTTCTTTAGCCTCGGTTACATGTAATCATACCCATCTGAGAGGATACAAACATTGACCCGTACATTCTGTCAGCTCGAAATTCGCAACGAGGGCCAAGTTACATTCAACTTTGCAACGATTTTGAGTGGCAGCAATGTGCGCTGGCGCATCCGCAAGTTTACATTGCACCACCGAAGGCTCCACCTTCTTTGTTTATTGTGTATTTTATTGATTCGACATCTGAATGTTGTGATGCCAGTGGCTGTGTAAACTTGAAGATGACATTTTGAAGAGTCATAAATGCCTACGTTTCTGTTTACAAGCTTCATTTCTCGGCTCTCGTAGCCACTCCACAGCAGTTTTTGGTTGCGTAAGCACATCAAACGCACCGAATTATCTGATCCTGAAGTTCCTTTTGCAAAAGCTGTAGTGCTAGCGTCTCCTCATAAGCTTTTTATGACAATTTCGATCTTACCCGTTCAGTTTCTCACAATACCCGTCCTAGTTGGATCCGGCTAGAAGGCGCCCATATGGTTACCCAGCCCTTCTGCTGGCTGCTTTTTCTGTGAGAAGATCCTGAAAGTGAAGGTTCAGCTCGTCTTGGACGATGACCTTCTTGTCGTCGAGCATCGATGAATGAGTGACGGACACGTTGCCGATTTCCTCAACCTACATCGGCGATACGTACCGTTGAGCCCTTTTATCGTGGTTGTAAATCGTGGTCCAGTTAGTAGGGTAGGTGCCCTTCTGAAAGTGTTCGTCCCCAGAACACGAAAGCGTAAGAGACGTAGGCTAAGTCTGCGTCTCGTGGCTTTGTACACTCCCCGGGCCGTTTAGCCCGCGCCGTCGCCACCACGTCTCCGCCCATGGGGACCGCCCACATCGCTGTGTGACCATTCGAAACCGCCGACGACGAAACTACGAAACGCCGTTGACCTTGATTCACACCGCATATTTTATACATCTGAACATGCTCATCGATACCGTATCACTTGTCTTCTGCTCTTTACATTTACCATTATTGGGATCTCTCAAGGGTCAGTAGCTCCTAGAATTGCTCAAAATCCTCTAAAAAATGACCAGAAGGCTTCAAATTCCTCCGAATTCCGTTTTACTATCGACAGTAATTCGATTCACATCGCTAGTAGACGGGTTTTTTTACGACGACTAATTGGGTCGTTGTACGTGATCACGTCTTTCGCGCGCTTACTGTTTATTGTTTATCGATTTGATTGCGATCTATGGTAAACATTCATTACATTGGGGCACTTATAGCACGATTGCTGTCCAAGATTTGAACTTTCTTGATGTTTTATCGATCGCTGATTGTTTTGAGGTTCGCTTTGCTGTGTGAACGTTCTTATCTTCATTGCTTCGTATTTTCCTGAGATTTATTGGTTCAGTCGACTGAAGCGACCGAGAAGGCTGTTCATTCTTACTTTTGACTTCCTGTTTTTCAATTATGCTGAAACCTCTTTGATTTTTACTTGCAAAACCAGTTAGGTAGGAGCATCATCGGCATAGTTCTATATGAATCTTCATGAATAGTGCAACGCCATTAGTCTTTTTTCACCGTTTTATCCAGGAAATAATGTTATTATTCCCGAATTCATGAATACATTTACATTGGTCACATAAATGATGAATAGTATGCATGTGTGAGGACAAAGTCCATCTCATTTATGAGATCTTTCTTGTTGTTCCTTTAGTTTTAACTTTGAACAGGGCATCATTGCCTTTGCATTGTTTACTTAGTACTTGTTGTTAAGAGTTTGAACTTCTAGCTCTATTTGTTAAGAGTGAGTTGAGGTTACCAGCTCTTCGAAAAACTTCAAGTAGGTATTTTCACTCATATAATTTTCGTGGGAACTCTAATTTGACGGCCCTGAAGCGTGTATTTTTCAAATGTACGTTCTTCATTCGTGCTAGAAACGTTCTTCTTTGTATTGTGTTGCCATTGATATCATCGGAATGCCGTAATATCATGCGCTTATCGTGTCGTCGGATCAGTTTCCAATGTCACTCATTCGTAATCGATCAATCCAGCCTCTCCAGGGATCGATATCGATTTCTTTTCACGTTCTCTGAACTATTGATTATACGTGATGTCGGTGCGTTTCTTTAACGCTGGGTGAGAATTATGGGTGTCTGTCCGGGAGGAGGAACGAGGGCTGATTCATGTGGTGCTAGATTGCGCTGATTACCATTTCATTCAGCGCTTTGTTCTGCTCTTGCAAAAGCACGATGCAATTTTTTTAAATTATTGATTAATTGAGCTATTCTTCAGTTTCATGTGTCATGTGTTTTTCTTCAAAAAGGTTTCAATGGTGAGGACTTCTTTTGTATTTTTTGGTGGGTTTTCGTTGTTTTAATAGCTTCCACTGGCCTATTGTAAATATGTATTCAGCATTAAGTAAATAGTTGGGCTTGAGGTGAGTAATAGTAAATGGTAAGAAGTCCAGTTATTGACCTGATATTATAACTGATACATTTCGGGTTATTAGTCTTAAGCCATGCCATACTCCTCTTAATGCAGTTGAAGAAGCTCTAAAAGCAGCGAAAGTTCACCAATGATTTGAGTTCAAGGGTTTTTCATCAAGATTTCACAGGGAAACTTTTCGAATACTCGTAACATATTTTGAAATTTAGAAGTTTTGTTTTTTGCATGAAATTTTTTGCTGCTGAATAATCATAGCAGAGTTGTGAATGGCGCTGCCAACAAAAATTGGCATTTTTTCGGATTCTTTCAAGATGTGTACAAAAATCATTCTTTCGCAATGAATAGTCAACACCTTATCGCAGCGACGCCCTTCCGGCCGGGCAAACTTGCGCCCGATCGACTTAATTGACAACCCACCGATCAGTCTTAACCCGGTGCTACCCCACCGCAGCTTGCCGGTTCTCTTTCACGCAAGATTTCTGGGTAAATAGTCGATGTTGTTAGGGGATTGAATTGCTTTCGAACAATGCAAACGATAAATCGTAGCATGACTAGTATTCGTCTTATATTCGTCTCGAAACGAATTGTGGCTGCAGAAAACTTGTTTCGTATATCGTATAACTTCTCTGTTGGCTCTGCCGGTACAATTCTCAGTCAGGCAGTTTTGTCTTACCAGTTTGTTTAGCTTTCAAAGTTTTACGGCGAATAGACGGCATGAATTGCGCAGATCCGCTACGACATCCACGACACATATCTTAACCGGGTTTACATCGATGGTCTTGGGCTAACTGGTAATCTTTCGGATGGGTGTCTAGGAAAAATGTTATTATTTAGACAAACTTGATTGATGAAGTTGTAGAAGCATTGCTGATCAATCCTATTTGGGATGTTCAACAGCAGTGGACAGGTATATTTCTCGTGGTGCTCCTTCACCCCTCTTCGGTCGAAGAAGGCTCTATGGCCTGGTCAAGCTTATTGTAGTCTATTCTTGTTGGCATGGTCGTTACAGGTCAAAGCGTATAGGACAAAGCATTTGCCGTTGATCAATCCCTGGGATGCGGCACGCATTCTACTTCCATTTGTATTCGTAGTGGCGTTTGAATGCGATGTGGCCTATACAATGACTTGCGGGGGCCAGCCGATGTACAAGTCAGTGTTTTTATCCTCCCAGACAAGTCTGGTACCAATTAACCGACCCCGGAGGGATGGAAGGCTTGGTTGGCCCGGGCGACTCACGACCCAGGATTTGATCCCTAACCAGCTCGCATGCTGCTACGCCACTTGCCCTTTCGTTGCAGGTTTAACTTTAGAAGTATCGTTTAATTTTAAATAAATAAATAAATTTCTACTATTTATAGGAGCTTTTTTGAATTAGGGCATTTGCTTTCTTATGATTCACTCTTTTCTGTTTTCTGGGTATGAGTACAGTGGATTTTGTTTAGTTTCGAATAACTTCGATCTAGCGCTGAAAACCAGATTTCACCTATTCTCTCTCCTCGCGATCCGTATTTCTCCATTGATTATTAGAAAAAGATGGTAGGTCGAAGTGGCTATTCAGACGAGACGTCTGTTATTATTACCTAAAGTGTTTCCGAAAACTGATCTCAAATCTGTTTGTTGGCAGGTTTCGCCGTTTTTCCTGTTTTGGTTTTGATCCAAATATAGTATTTGCTCCTTTCAGTTACAGTGATTTCGTTGGCGTTATTGACTTGTTTCTCTGAGAGTAAGTGTCTCATGAATTGGATGCGGATTATTTTCATTCGCGCAATCAGGGTCACGTAGGCGCGACTTAAGGATTAACATGACCTTGAGAACTTTCTAAGGCCTTTGTGTCCCATTAAATTCTTGAAGAGTTGTTCCAAATGGCTGCTTTTGTCCTATACATAGATTTTAATGGAGCCAAACTTGTCTTCGTTTTCATTATCTGTAGCCACAGCCACAGCTCAAACTGTGCCTGGCATTAACTCTGAATTCACAACTATTATATTTACTCTGATTGAACCTCAATCACATTTTTGATTTCTATTTTTTGTTTTCCCTGGAATTTTCTCTACTCGCCGATTTGTGCAATTATGTGCTTTTTCTGTCCAATAATTTTCAAATTCTGCAAGTTTTTGCTCCGCATAACATCCAATATGTGAATGACCTTTCGCTGTTCGTTTCGTTTCCTGTTTTACTGGCGTTTTATTACCTTTTTCGCTGAGCTATTTGGTTACACATGAAGGTCTCATCGCGGCCGCAGTCGCCGACATTTATTTTTCACTGGTCGATTTTCCATGAATAGATTTTTTTGCAGGACCATATTGCAATTGAGGCCGTCGGAGATGTCTAGGAGATGAGTAATCGTGATTTGCGACATGTTATATCGAGCAGAGTTGTGCGAGGCGCCACGCCAAAGGCGCTGGCAAGCGCCCATGGGCCGATCACGCCCTACTAGCTATATTTTCCTATTCTTATTATTGTTGTTATTTATTCCGTCCAACAACGGCTTTCACTCCGATGAATGGATAGTCTTCAAGAACAAACATGCCGATCAGGGTATGGAGTTCGAGAAAATGGTGAGCTCTTTGTCTCTCTGCTTTGTATTGATTCAGTTGATCAGCAAATTTGATAATTTGATACCAGGCAATCTTTGATTTGTTAAAATTGATTATCTTCGCGATAGTAGGCGATCTTTGCTACTGTTTGGTGTCCACTCCTCCGGCCGCTGAACGTTCGATGTGTAATACATGTCCGAGCGGCTTAACCCGGTAATCCCGTGCTCAAACTATGGCGGGTCATTGTTGGGTGCTGAAATTGAAATCGAAAGTGTAATAATTAGAAGTATGACTCGAAATTCTACTGATTTTGAAATAGGTTCCTTAAAGTGAAATGGGATTGGCTTACTTAGAGCTCGTTTGGTAGTAAAGGGATGGATGGTTGCTAATTGAATTGCGTAATGCCTTATGCTGGGTCTGGCGGTGGCGTAACCACTAGACTGGTTGTAATCTTCCTGGTCTGTCCAAGATCTAAGAGATCCGAAGCTCTTTTTAATTAGAGCCAAAGAATGAGATCGTGATCTCGAACAGGCAAGTAGTTAATTTGAAAGTAACTATTCGAATCGTATCGTTCAAAGGTTTCTTTTGGTAGTGAGAACAGTTTTTTTATACCAGCCGTCCTTAGTTCTCCGGTTCTTCCAAATAACCTTCTTTAGATTAAGTTTATAACACGTTAAGGAGAAGCTCATCTCACA